CCAACAAGTGAGTTTATTTTCTGATCACATTTAGTCATGCCTGTAAAGAGATAGCCTGTATCATGTTCCTAAGGAGACATCCCTGAATAACTTCTTTAGAAACCCCAAATAAATAAATAAATAAATAAATAGATCACAAAGCCACAACTTCTTTACCACTGGCATTTACCCTGACAGCTCATGAGAGCATTTTATAAATCCAGAAAGAGACAAGGAACAGCAGCTCCCTCAAGCAAGTAATTGACAGAGAAAGAATAGCCTGTCACCGGGGAGAGCTGGAAGCCCTTCATTTCAGTTACAGTTTATTTAGCTTTTGCTGGTCTTGATTGGCTGGTGGTTTTCTGGAGTTCCCATTGAGCAGATGTTGTCTAGACAGAGATGGTGAGGACACACTCTGTAATAGTTGCTTCTAGTGGAGGGGCTTATTTTTGGTTTTGCCATATTGAGGGAGATGAGGGCACTCATCCTGGAAAACTGCCATGGGCTGTCAGAGCTGGAAGTCACCTTAGAGCTGATCAGATCTAACCACTCTTTACAGAGACATCATTTGCCATGTCTGCTCCTCAGGAATCCTTCCCTGGCTCCTCTGCCTTCATGCTGCTTAGCGTGGCCCTCGCCATGTTGCATCCTGGGGGCTTCTGTGATCTGCCTTCCTTCCTCTTTGTGTCCCAACACCCTACACAGTGCCTAGGCTGGACCAAGTGTAAGTAAATGTCTGATGAATCATGAGGATATAAGACCCAGCTGACCAGATTCCAGTAGCACATTTTCTACCTCCCCCGGCTACTTTACCCCCAGCTTGCTCACTCAAAGCACCCCGATACTGATCCTGAAGGAGTGAGCTGCTTCTGTTCTTTGGCCTCTGGAGTTTATTAGGTGCTTACTGATACCCGTCAATTGTAGATAGGCTGAAGTGCAGGGGAATGGCTGCCTGCATGAAGTAAAATTCAATAAAAACGTATTTTAAGTGAAAAATCAGTATAAACACCAGGCTTCTTTGCCATGGAAACAGAGGTTGCTTAGAAACTGCCTAACGGTGAGTTCTAAATTTTTTAAAGTCAAGTTATCATTTAAGCTACATGGCCCTACAGGTTATTGAGAGATAATCACTCGCCTCAGGACAGAAGAAGGCATGAGGCACAGCTGACTGCCTCCCCCTGCTCTGGGGACCAGGTAATCTCTTGATAACTCTGTTCCCCAGAGCCACTCATTTGGGCCTAGGGGAAGGAGAAAGAAATTTTTGTTCAGGAGTTAAATAGTGTACATATATTTTTTTTAAAGTGTTTCTCTTTGGGTTTGAAAAAAGATGGAACTGGCCATTTGGCCTGTTCAACAGTCATCTCTGCCACATTTCAAGATGTATTAGGAACATTTTCCAGGCAGTTACCCCAGTCACTTCAAAGCAGAGGTCCTGCCTTTGTCTTCTGGCTTTTGATTATGCAGAAAGGACTTCCGAGGGCTTCAGCTTCGCTTTAGGCTCTCTCCTCTCTGGGAGTCCCTCATCCCTACACAGGCTGGGCAGGAACTGGCCCCAGAACAGAGTGCTACTAGACTTCCTGATCCTCAGGTACAGCTCCCAGGGGTGGAAGCCAACAAGGGTCCAGGTTCAGAATTTGTCGATATTTAGAGTTCAGCAGGTCATGTGCCTCTTGCCAAGCAAGAGCGCAGCTGCGCCTGTCAGCCATCTGGTTGCATGGCACAGTGTTTGCTCCCCACCTCAGGCATGTGGAGGGCATAGCAGACTGCATTTGTTTCTTCCTAAAAATAAGCCAAATTAGAATTCCATTGGCTGAGAATTGGAACTCCCACCAGGTCAGTGTGGTGGAATTATGAGTGAGACACAAGACAAATGCTTTGCCCTTTTCAGTGTCTGAGCATTATCCGTGATGTGGTGCTTCTAGAGTTGGTAATGATAATTATTCCTTAGACACACACACACAGATTCTCTCTGTCTCTCTCTGGAAGGAATAGTGTTTTCATTATACACTTCAAAGTGTTTCCTGCACCTCCTCTTCTCAGAGCCAGAGAACAAACCTGGGAGGTGGGAGGCGTGTGGGTTGGCTGCAATCAGCCTCCTTTGGAGAAAGAGAAAGCAGGTACAAGAGGCAAAACAGTTTGCTCCAAGCCACAGAGGCAGGAGAAGGAACTTGCATTGCTGCCTGCCATTCTGGATGTTCACCCCTTTAAGAGCAAAGAAACAAGACCCAAATTAATTCTTCTAAGAGTTTGGCTCTTGCTTAATAAAAGGTGGTGAACTTTGCACACATTTTTGTCTTTGCTTCCCTCTTAACATTTTTATTTGGAGATCTCACAGGGCAGAGAGTAGCTTCCTTCCTTTTCTGCTAAGGAATACAGCATCCACATTTAGCATGTTAAAAAGGGTTCCAAAAATGAACATTGCTATGTTTTCATGCCACGTAAATCAGAGCAGAGCTGTGACTGAACTGGGCTATGGCACCACTCTCCTGGATGTTGTCCAGATAAAAATACTCCTTGAAGCCAGAGTGCCTTGCTGTAGCTTGAGAAATTGTTCCAGTTCTTGAAATCAAATGAAACCATTTGCATTCTAACAGTCTTTGGCACTAGGGAAAACTGTCAACTCTGTCACGTGTAAATAGAAATCTACTTCCCATTTCAGGTGAGGTTTTTTTAATCATTCCCTTGCCACTTTAATTATCAAAGATATTTTGTTTTTAAACAAAAATTCTCTCCCACGCAGGCCCCATCTCCTTTCTGCAGTAGTGGAAATGATGAATTAGAATATTCTGATCACTTCTCCAGCAACCACTGTACAGGTTATAAACACAAGATTATCTTAAGCAAAGAAAATTTAACGTTGTTTAGGCACAGAACAGGCTGGAAATTTTCCAAAGTGCCCCCTCTCTCCCTAGCTGCTTCCTTTACCTCCTTAGCATATGCCTATTAAATGCAGGGAAAAAAAAAAAACTAGTTTTACAGAGGTAAGACCTGAATCTCAGCCTTGAGATTAATTTCAGATCAACAAAATCAAAAAACAAATATTTAGTTTTGTTTAGCCAGCATTTAATTTCCTATCTGCTCAAAAGTATAGTAGAGACCTCTAGGAATAATTGTGAAGAAAAAAGTGTGATCTATCAAATAGATCCTATGTATAGCTGTTCCTCAGTATGTGCGGAGGGTTGGTTCTGGGATCCCTTGGAGATAACATCCCAAAATCTCAGAGTGTTCAAGTCCCTTATATAAAGTGGGGTAATAAAACCCTCTTGTATACTTTAAATCATACCTAGATTACTTACAATACCTAATGCAGTGTCGATGCTATGTAAATAGTTGTTATGCAAATAGTTGTTATGCTATATTGTTTAGAGACTAATGACAGGAAATAGAATCTGTGCATGTTCAGTAGAGACAGGATTTTTTTTTTTTATCGAACTCAGGACCTTGCTCTTGCGAGGCAGGCATGGTGCCACTGAGCTAAATCCCCGGCCCTTTTTTTTCAAATATTATCAATCCATGGTTTGTTGAACTGATAGATACAGAGAGCTGACTGTATTGGTTAGTAGCAGATCACATATGCTAGACTCTGTAGGGTTTGATCTATGTTTTAAACCTTAGCAAAACCCTGAGTGAGGTACATCTGCCATTTTTAGAAATGAGGAAACAGACTGGGACAAGTTGAATAATTCTTACAGCTGCATAGTTGGTGATATTGTGATAACAGGAATCTTGTTAATATTCTTTGTTCCTTTATGATAAGCAGCTATCCTTTCCTCCAGATCCTTACACAGGATGTAATATGTCAGAAAGGTAGGTCATTTTAAGTCCTTAGTGAGAGCCACCTAATATAAATCACTGGCTCCTCATGAAAACAAGAACCCATCTAATCAACAGGCTTTTACTGAGTGGTTTGTGTGTGCCATGCCGTGCCCTCAGAGAGCTTATCTTGTGAGGATGGCCAGTGAGCACGCAGCTGGTATGTGCAGGAAAGGTATCCTGAATGAAGAAAGGAAAGGGCAGCACACCTGGTTAAAGGAAAAAGGTAGCACCTAGCAGGTAATGGGTGAGCTGAGATGACTGGCTGCTGAGAGGAAGCCGGCCAGCCAGTGGGGGCTTCATTCTTCCTGGGACCACAGCCAGGTCTGTGAGGTTTACAGTGGGACTGTCCATGACATTGGCCCTGAGCACATAATTGATGGCTTAGAAACAGGAGTTGAACAGATGAGAGGCGAGAGTTGTGACCAAAGTGCAGGCCACATAGAGAACCTCATCTTTAGAGGGTGTGTGGTAGCCCCGGGCATTGAGCTCTGTTTCTGTTGTGTGTAGGACTGCCAAGGTCATGGGCAGGGCTCATCTGCTTGGGCCCCTGGCAAGAGACAAGTGTCCCAATAGATCCCATCCCTGTGAGTAAAGGGGCTCCTCATAGCAGCCATGAGCACGTATCCAATCCCCCAACCACTCATGGCTCTTGGTGGCCAGAAATAGTCCAGCTACAGAGTTCAGCAGTGAGCCGGGAGCCCTCTTGAGGACCTGGAGACAAACGAAGCTGAGGTGCTTCTCATGTCTCCAAGCAAGACAGAGAGCCCTACTCTGGGGCTGGTCTGGCCCCACATACATCCTTCTGCCACTCCCACTCTTCCTGAGTCTAATGGAGCCAGTAATAAAGGGTGGGCCTTGTCATTTTTCTTTTTTCAGAAACTCCAGCTTTACACTCCAGAACTCAACCTGTGTCTTTGCCAAAAGCTTGTTTAATGTCAATATTGTTCTGCTGAGACTAATTACTATTTTACTGTATGTCAATGGATATGAAACTGTTTACTTCTATTTCCATTAGGCTTTGGGACTGTCCTAATGGGCCTATCTTAGCAGCTAAAATAGGTTTCTTCTGCTGTTTGAAGTGATTTGATATCATTATCAATTTCTTCTCAGATGGCTCAGTAAATAGCTTCTGAGGTAGGACCACACTGACTCCTTTTCTCCTTCCCTCCCCACATCACCTACTCACTTCTGGCCTCTCTCCACAGTGTCTTCCAACACTTGATGAAGGTAGATCCGGACTCCATCTGGTTCCTCCTAAATGAGCTTTACTGCCCCCTGCAGTTCATACCCCCTCACCCCAGCCTGCACCCGGTGCAGCTGCGGGGGTTCTCTGGGCAGCAGAGCCTCTACTCGGCCAACGTGCTCTACCTGCTCCAGGAGCTGCAGTCCCCACCCCTGTGTGATGGGCAGGCCCTGCCTCCTGGAAAGAGCACCCCACACTGCCAGCCAGAAGTTGAGCCAACTGTACCCCAGCAGCAGAGATGAATGTGAAGGTGGATTAGACAGCCAATCAATTGATCGATCACATAACTGCTTAGAAATTGGATTGAAGGAAAGTACCTGACTGTTACTTATATTTCATTCCTCCAGTTTTCAGATGACATTGTCTCCGGGCTCTAAGGGTTTAACTCCTTAGCATACCATCTCCACAGCCCTACCTGCCTCACAGGGTACAAACAAACACACACACAGACACACACACACACACCCCTGAATGATTAGGGGTGGGTAAAGCCAACCTGAGTGCTGGATGTGTCTGGACCTTGTTTAAATGTCACACGTCTAAGAACCTTAAGAATGTAACTGTGCCATCACAAATACATAGATTGGCCCCTCTGCATCCACACACCAGTCCCCTCTAATAATGAAATAGAGCTAATTTGTTGTACCTGACCTGTTATTTGGAAGAAAATGAAGTAGATATGTCTTGGATGAAAAGTGTGATCAAGAGCTCACTTTGAAGTTTGTTATTTAAATTGGGTGATATTTTTAATGAGTTTATGTTCTTGAATGGGTAATAAAGAACTATGGTACAAAATCAAAGCAGTGCAAAACAGAAAACAGTGAAAAGTAAGCCTCCCCTCCCCATTTCCCAGCCATCTGGTTTCCCTCCCTAAAGGCAACCACTCACAACAATTTTTCAGATACCTTTTAAGTAGGGGATTAGTTTCTTAATTGGTTACTATGGGTATATAAAGAAGCCCATATACCCATACCCTGGCTTCGCTGGCTATCAGCACATGGCCAGTCTTGCTCCATCTAGACCACTGCTCATTTGCTTACTCCTCCAGGCCCCTGGATTATTTTCATGCAAATCCTAGATGTCTTATCCAAACATTTTTGGAGGGTTCTATTTGTATTTTACAGTACTGGAGATTGAGCCCAGCTTCACACATGCTAGGCCAAGCACAGTACTGAGCCCCAGCACTTTTTTTGAGACAGGATCTTGTGAGTTGCCCAGGCTGTCCTCAGACTTGTGATCCTCTTACCTCAGCCTTTCAAGTAGCTGGGATTATTGATGTATGCTATCACACCTGGCTCCCAAACTCTTTAAAATGTTTAACCACAATACCATTATAATGCTTTTTAAAATTTAACAATGATCCTTTCATATCTCAAGTATTAAGTCAGTGCCTCAGTTTGCCCAGCATGTTTGAATCAGGATCAAAATAAGTTATATATATTGTTGGTATTGATGTGTCCCTTAATAAATCTTTTTGAATTTATAGGTGTCCCCTCTACCTCCCTTCCCTTTTCCTTGTAAATTTTTTGGAGAAGAAACAAGCCCTTTATCCTACAGCATTTCCCACTATCTGGATTTACTGATGGCATCCCTAGAGGGTCATTTCATGCATTTTTCCTGTCACCTATATCTGCTGTAAATTGGGAGGCAGAGCAAGAATCTTGAGTCAGATTTGATTTTTTTCTTGGTTATGTGTTTTGGCCTAGTCCCTCCCTAGATGGTATTACTCCCATCAGGAGGCACATAACATCTCATCTCTTACAGTGTATTAGCAGCTATTGGGGTGTTCTACTGTCTCCATCCACTTTTGGGATTGCTAGCTATTGCTCTTCTAATTCCAGCGGGCTGGCTTACATTTAGCCACAGTGCTCATATAAAGGGAATTTACCCTTCCTCAACTGTGTGGTAACCTGGAACTACTGTTTGTATAGAAAAGGCAGAATAAATACTTGACTTTTTTTCTAGCAGAGGAATTTAACACAGATTATGTAAAAGTAGGCATATAGCCACACTGCCACACAAACACCGACACACACTGAAGGATCCTGGGAATGATGACCCTCCTTCACCAGATGCACAGGGACATCAGCTAGACAAATCTTCCAGTAGCATAGATAATCCCCAAGCTCTTCATGTGGACACATTGGAATAAGGGACCCCAGCTAGTTCTAGAGAGGTTCGGTGATTTTCCTTTAGGGTCTACCGTGCCAGGGCAGTGGGATGTCCAGCTTGGGTCTAGTTGGCAGCAGCCTGGCTCTGGTCTTCCTCTGCTGGTGAGCTACTCTCCTCTCTGGGCCTCAGTTCCCCAGCTAGAAGAGTAGTGAAATTAGACCAGAGGGAGTGGTCCTAATCTTTGGGGGCTGGGCACCTCCAGGCATCTGTTGAAATATGAGCACCCACTCCTCAAAGCTCCTCCTCCTGTCATATAGGAGGGCACTGCATCCTGCATAACTGACCTCACAGAATTCTAAGTGCACTCTATAGAGACTATCTGTGACCCCAAACTAAGACCCTCTGAAAGCATGCACTATCATTTAGCTCTCCCAGCTTTAAAGTTCTAGGATGATCTCCTTTGGGAAAGGAAGAAAAGTGCCTCTAATTGAGAGAACGGTAAAAAGATTCACAACATTGTTTCTAACTCCGCTGGGGACACAAAGTGATAGGCTAATTCAATCTCGGCCCTGACAAATGAGAAAACAGGTCAGAGAGGTGGCGTGACTTGCGGAGCATTACGTGGCTGCTCCCCATGAGATTAAAGCAGGCTGCCTTCTCAGAGTGGCTGGGTGTGGCAGGCAGGCCATGGTGAGTCCTGAGACGCCAGGGCAGATGCACACACACACATCCTAATCAACAGGCTCTGGGAAAGCACTCCAGGAAGTAATGAGCACAGGCTGGTTTGCCATGGTGTTCCCATAGTGTTCCACCTCTTTCTTAAAGAGTTAAGGTGTCCTGAGTTGCTTCCCAATTCCTGAAGACAGATTGTGCTTGATTAAAAAAACAACAAAACTAATTAGAGCACCTCTCCAATTATATTAAGACAACTTTAATTTTGAACCCATCCATCTGATTCAGTCTAGGCCTTGTTAACAGAGGCATCTCAAAGTGCTCCTTCCCCTCTATTCCAATTCCCTGGAATGGTGGCTTCTCCTTCCCTCTAAGGGAGAAAAGCATTAGTGTGGCTGTGGCTGGGCTTCAGGGTAGGTAAAGGAGGAATGGACAGAAGCCAGAAGGCCCTAACTAAATTTTAGGTGGAGATATTTGAGCTGTGCTCTGCCAGCAGCAGAAGGTTCCTGGAGCATTCAGGAAAGTGCAGAGCTAGATCCAGGGCATCCTGTCATGATGGCTGGGAAAGGATCAGCTGTGGTCCTCAGGAGGCTCCATACTGTAGAAAGTGTGGATGATTTGGAGTTCGTTAGAGCTGGGGTTGATTTCTGACTACCTCTGACCGCTGTGTGGCCTTGGGCAAGTCATTTTACTTTTGAGATTGATTTTCCCATCCCTAAAAGAATTGCTGCCTTTGCCTCTTCCAGCAGCTGCATAGGAAAGAAAAGATGCTGCAGTGTCTATAAAGCAACTGTCACAGTGCCTGGGGCTCTACCTGCTTCCCAGCTCATTGGCTATGGCTTTATCAAGGATGCACCACATACTCCTCCAGTGTAGCTGAGGAAGTTTATAGTTAACTCTCAGCACAAACCACTCCAGAGCTAGAGGGAGCCCCAGTAAGGAGAGAATCAAAGAAGGCTTCTAGGAGGAGGTGAAGTCCCATAGGACAGGTAGACTTGGCAGGCAGAGAGGCTCAAAGGCATTTCAGACAGGGAAAATTAATAAACCTAAGGCATGCAGGCCTATCTGATTTGTACTCATCCCGGCTCCTGCTGGAAGTGACAGAGACCAAATGATTTGCTTGAGCAAAAGGAAAGTCAGTGCACAGAACCAAGAAGCCGGCTGGCTCCTGGCCCCACAGCCTCCCTGTCTTTTGATCCCACTTTCCCTGGTTGCCTTCATTCTCCAGAAGCCTCTCTTGATAAAGTGTCAATGATGGCAAGCCAGTAGTAGTTCTAGGCTTATGTTCTTTCAACTCAACACACGTAAGAGGGTCCAGGAGTTTGAGATCAGGCTGGGCGATATAGTAAGACCTTGTGTCAAAAAACAAAAACACCTAGGAGAGTGTGTGCCTCCTTCTGGCATCTCCAGCTTAAGTCCCCCAATCTGCTCCTATTAGCTCACCCTATTCTTTGTCCAACCCAAAACTAAGCATTGTCTGCCTGCAGGGCCCAGCAAACGTGCCCTGGAAAGGGCCAGACGGGAATCTGTTCAGCTTTGCAGGCCATAGGTCTCTGTGTCATGTTACTTTTGTGTGTGTGTGTGTGATCTTTTAAAAGTGAAAATCATTTTTAGCTCAGAGGCCTGACAAAAATAGGCCAGGGGTTTGCTTGCCACCACCCCCACCACCCCTCCTGCCAAGACAAACCCTGGTGTACAGCATTCTCATGGGCAGGCCTGGAGGTGGGGTCAGGCCAGCTCATTCTAACCATGTGGAGAAAGAGTTGAGGTGGTGTGGTTTCCCCAAAAGGAATGGCTGTATTTGGCTACCAAGAAAAAAAATGCCAGAGTAAGGAAGAGGGGAGAATGGCAGGCATTCTCCACCCCACATCTGTGGCACAGCAGTCTGGGGGGTGTGCGTTAGGAGCCACATTCATGGAGGGTCCCAGCCTTAAGGGATCAAGCAGTGGCCTTGGAAGGTTCTTGAGTGGGTGAGTAATGTATTGAAAGGAGCATTTTAGGAATATTCATCTCATGACGGCATATGGGAGGACTTGGAAGGAGAGAGACTGGCAATGAAATTGTGTTTCTGAAAGTCCGAGGATGAAAAAATGTACCTCTTCCATCAACCCCAAACTGTTTGACATGCCTTGGTTCATGAGCAACTTGAGGCACATAAATATATGCTTTAAAGTTTAAAAGTAAGAAGTGAGATGAATGGATCGTCTGATGAGGCTTCCTCCAGCTCCATCCGGAGAGTGCAGGAGCCCTGGAAATGATTTTCTGCAGCTCCAGCTGTGATGAACAATGCAGGGTCCCTCTCCCTTTGTGTGGCTCACCCCAGTCCTCTGTGTTGGGCTTGATTGGAAGCCAAGTACCGGCATTGCCTTTCCTCCAGAGTAGGGAATAGAGGCCAAATTTCGTAAAATAATTCTGAGTGATGGTGGACTCTGTCGAAGCATTGATTGCTTTATAAATGGCATTCTTCTCTCTGCACCCCCGCCCCCGCCCCCCACCACTGAAGTTTAGAGGCAGCGGCTTTTCAAATTACGCTTGAAAAGCAGCCTGATTTCCCACAGGAATTATCTCCTAGATTAGGAGCTGTTCTACCTTTTCTGACAATTTTACCCAGAGTGTAAAGCCTGTCTGCAAAGGGTGAGGAAGGAGCAGTGCCCTACTCATTTCAAAGTATTCAGCACCAGCCATTTATGAAAAGGGCTCACAATAGTCCTAGCCCCACATTGGGGGCCGGCTGCCTCTGCAGCAGGAAAGGGTTAAAAAGCACTGATGAATGACTGCCTCCACCACCCCCTTCCGTTTTCCCTCCTTATGTAATTTCCCATTCTTTTTGCACAACAGCTCCTGGGGTCTCAACCTGCTCTCTCAATCAGTACCCTCACGTCCTCAGCTTCCTCCCACACAGGCGGGCTCAGAAGTAAGGAAAGCAGCTTTCAAAATCTCTGGCCGTTTCCAAGGGAAGAGTTGGGAGGGGGTGGGGGTGGGGCTGGAACTGAAGTAGTGGAGAAAGAGTCCCAAGTTTCTTGAAATAAAACATTGACTGCATTCTCCATGACTCAAGTGTGCAGTGGAGACAGACCTACGTGCACCTCACCTCCTGTTAGCCCCATCCCATGTCCTACCCCACAGACCCCACCGGCTGCTCTCCTGCCCTGAGCAGTGCCCTGTTCCCTGGAGGAGCTCAGAGAGGCCAGAAATAAGAATCAGACTATGCCAAAGATCAGAGATCACCTCAGGCACTCCCTTCCCTCCCTGAGCCTCAGTTGCCCTGTCTCCAGGTGGAGTTCGGAGCATTGTTCTACCCTCTAAAATATCTGTGATTTGTTTGCATCAGTGTTGGCAGTGTGAGAAGCAGTTGTGTAAATTGGTACTTTTTGGAGGTCACTTGGATGGGGCACACAAAGGTTCACACACATAGGCTATTCACTACTATGTTCGTAATTTACAAAAACCCTCAAATATTGAATGACCTGTATGTGCCAGGCATTAGGCTGAGGGCTTTACATTACTGTCTCAGACTGAAAGTGGAAATAGCAAATAAGCCAGTCATGGGATTTAACCATCCATCCAAAAAAGATGGAAACACTTCCTACACACACACACACACACACACACACACACACACCTGCCCAACACAGAAATGCTGCTGAATTCTACTGAGAAATGGTATATCAAAAACCAGGAAATACTGCTGTGAAGTATTTGCTTAATGTAAATGTAAAATGTTTTAAGTAAGAGAAGAGGTTGAGGGAGAACAGGAGTGGACTGGTTGAATGGACAGTGGTACATTCTTGTAACAGCATGCTGTGCAGCATTAAAAAGAAAGTGGCAATAACTATGTGAGTTTGAAATGCACATACCCTTTGACTCAGCAATCCTGCTTTGAGGACTTTACTTGTCCTTGTGCAAAGATGAGAAAATGTTTGTTGATTCATTGTTTGCATTAATAAAAGACTGGAAAAACCTAAAAGTCCATCCAGAGAAAACTGGCTGAACAAGTGCTTCACAAACATGTGTAGTGTACCATGTAGCCTTTCAAAAGAACAAGGCCATTCTCTGTGTACCGCTGCAAGAAACAGTATTAAAGGGAAAAGCAGGTGGAACAATAATGCTGCTTATGCGGGAGGAGGGTACTTTATGTGCAGATCCCTCTTTAAGGACACCCAAGTGACAGCCTCTTAAGAATGGGAACAACATCAGTGATAAGTCTTTTCACAAGGTACCCTGTATTTACTCCTGATTTTTTTTTCTTTTTTTACCAAATGCATGCAAAACATTTTTATCATTAGGATAGAAAGGAATTATGAGTCTGTAATTCTATGGAAAGTTCACGTTTAGTGTTAGGGGCCTAACATCATCTGGGGCCCCTCCTTTGTGCTTTGCATTTTTAAGAGGATGTAGGGCTGCCCGGCAGGGAGGCAAAGCTCAAGCTGAATAAGCAAAGGGATCTGGGAGGATGCTCTGTAGCCTGTGTAGGCAGCTACCCTGTGGCCCCTGGAATGAGGGAAGACTATCTCCCACCCACTCCGAGTTCACCAAGGCCCTAAAGAGGTCCGCCTCCGAGGTTTTCCTGACTGCCCAGGCTGAACCAGGGCTCCCCGTCAGTGCTCTTAGGGCACTGCACGTCGCCCTCTGCCCCAGCCCTAACCTCAGCTCACTCTGAGGCTTCAGCCTTTCCTTCCGGGAAGGGTTGTATGCGAGCCCTCGCCTTCAGCACCTTGGACAGGGACAGTTCTCCCAGCTTTGGAGGCTGTCAGACTGATTTCGAATTTGAGGCTGCTAATATCACATATTAATTGCATCGGTTTACAGAAGGGGATTTGAAATCTGATAGTTGAAAATTTCAATTCAACAAGAGTTTTTTGAAGCTTTCTATGTGCCTGGCCCAGAGACAAAAAGATATACATACTGCCTCCCAGGAGCAAGGCTCAGAGTTAGGAAGGAGGCAGCGACAGAAATCTCCATTGCGAGGAGACAAACAGCAGCTCATTGAGGACTCTGGAGCTGGATGGCCTGGGTTTGAATCCTGACCATGCTGTGTGGCCTCAGTCAAGTGTCCATCGTGCTGATCCTTGATGAAATGGGAATAAAGACAGTACCTCCTGGGCTGAGGGTATGGCTCAGTGGTAGAGCACTTGCCTACCATGCATAAGGGCCTCAGCTTTGTCCTCAGAAACACACACACACACACACACACACACACCCCAGTACCTCCCTGAGGGTATGGTGAGAACCTGACTGACAGGGTGCTAGACTCCTGTCCTGGCTGGTGCCTGGGAAGTGCTCAGGAGGACCTGGTGCTGTGATGAAGATGGTGCTATTCAGAGGTATGTATGAAAGCACATGTTATGGCTTGTGTTTAGATGTCCTCCCAAAGCCTCATGCGGTCATAGGTTGGGCTTTTTCAGAGGTAGCTGGATCTAGAGTGTGTGGTACAATGCTAGGATTAAAGGTGCTAAGATTTAGCTCAGTGGTGCTGCGCCTGCCTCAAAAGCGCAAGGTCCTGAGTTTGATCCCTGGTACCACAAAAAAAAAAAAAGCTGCAAAGGTTAAGGGTGGGTCATTAACTAAATCAGTGCACTGATTTGGCACTGCCCTAACCCTGTACCCTAGATAGACTATAAAAGGGGCAGAAAAAAGCTGCTAAGATCCCTTGCCTACTTTGCTACCTTCTGCCCACCGTGAACTCTTTCTCCTCTGCGATGTCCCTCTGCCATGCCACTCTGCCTTGGAGCTAGTCAACTATGGATCCTCCACAAACTGTGAGCCAAATAAACCTTTCCTCCCTTAACTTATGGGTGATGGATATTTTTCTCAGCATGAGAAAAGTAACTCAGCAATGAGAAAAGTAAGACAGCACAGAAGTTGAATTGAAACTGGGAGGCTTCCTGGAGGAGAGGCCATCAGGCTTGCATTGCAGCATCTGCCTATCAGGAGTGGGGGTCAGGACAGAGGGAAAAGCAAGTGTAGGGCTCCTACTATAGCAGGGACTTAGAAGCTGGGCCTGCAGATGCCCATGTGACTAAAAGCAGGATGAAGCTTGGCATCTCTGCTTTCATTTTTATATCAGTCTCTTCTATTACCTAATAACTTTGGATCAGATTCCTGCTCAGCTTTGCACAAAGGCCTGTTAATCACTTAAACAGTATCTGTCTAAAACCTAGCAATACATGGTTTATTAGGTCTAAATTTACCTACTCTATTTCCCCCCTGCTTCAAGACTGTAGACACCAAGATAAGAGTATCTAAAGTAATTTTCAGGATTTCCAGGGACATCCAATTGCCAGCTTTTACAGTATCCAGTTCTAGAATGCTGGAGTGATGCCTAGAATCCTCCAGTCATTGTCCTAAACCTGCAGTCAACCTTGAATTCTAGCAGAACCTCTGCAGAGCACTCCATGATGAGGTCACCCAACTTAGCAGGGGCAGTAATCTCATGGGAGCTGGATTGCCACTCAAGCCATAAGGACTTCTCTGGAGCAACCTCATGGGACCAGACCTGAGATACCCCTCAAAGGGACCACTGCTTAACTAGGCTCATGTACCCCACAGTGATGCAAACCCCTGACCCTTGCCTTTGTTCCCCTTTTCTATAAAGCCCCAAAGTTTCTGTCAGCCCCTCAAGACAGATCTTGAACCTCTTTTTTTTGTTCTTCCTGGCCATGCTGATTAAAGCTCATCTCCTGCCCTTAACCACTGCTCATCTCTGATAACAGTTTAGGGACAGGTAGCTGAGCCTGGGCTGTTGGATCCCCTAGAGCTGGGACTTCTGCTGTAAAACTCCAGTAAAACTGCAACACTCAGGGTGTTGCTCATGTCGGTATGACCTGGGAGAGTGGGCAATGAAGGAGAAGACAAGGTCAAGGCTTGGGGAAGGGAGATGGTGTGTGCTGTCCTGAAGGGTGGGCCTGGGCCCTACTTCTGGTGGCCACAAAGTGGGTGTCTGAGGAATCAGTGCTGCTCAATGTAGCATTGCCTTGCAGAAGTTTCTTCTCTGGGGCTTTTTTTTTTTTGTACCAGGGATCGAACTTGGGACCTTGCACTTGCGAGGCAGGTGGCGGAATCTGAGCTAAATCCCCGGCTCTGGGGCTTTTCTTTAGGGCTCCATTTGGATCTGTGTTTGAGCCCTGGCCTTACCATGTACCACATTTACCAGCCATGTGACCTTTGACAAGTCAGTAATCTGTAAGATGGGAAGAATAATAGAGTTACTGTAGGACTCAGTGAGTTAATGCAACCAAAGAACTGAAGGCTAAAGCTAGTAGTTTTCACTCAAAGATAACGGTTCTGTTTTTGCAGCACAGGTTATGAGCACAGGTCCTGTGAGACCAGGAAAGAGCAGATTCACCTGATGGTGTACAGCATTGAAAAGCAACAGTGTCTGCCTGGAGGATCAGAGACAGCCTCCTGGAAGTGGCTCAGTATGGGGAGGAGCAGAGGCCTTGGACAAGCACCTCTTCTCTCCAAGCCTCAATTCCCACATGTGCAAAAGCAGGCAGTGTGATTATCCAGTTAGTCTGACTGTGCGGATGAGTGAGCTGATTGAAGGGAAGGGCGAGCACAGCCTGGGATGCTTGTATAGAAAGAGGAGCCTCCCTAGTAACAAGATCACAGAGTTCAAGGCAGTGGTTGAATTACTAGTGGACTGCCAGGTGGCTACATTCTCAAATTAGACCTTCTATCGGCTGTCAGGGTGGGCAACATCAAGGTGTGAGCTGATAATCCTGGCCTCACGGCTCCCTCTGATTTCACAGCCCATGAGACTGAGTATTATGTCCATTTAACAGGGGTAGAAACTGAACTCGGAGGGCTGAAAGGGCAGGTTCCTAAGGTCTTACTGAAGGAGGATTTGGTTGCAGCCTGGGACATTTCTAGCTTGTGAGCACCTGCTTGCTGACTCCTGGGAAGTATACACAAAAGAGGAGGTGCAGTCCTTAAGATTACACTCTAGTTGGGAGGCCAGACTTCCTTAGAAACATTTTCATTTACTAATGGATTTAATGAGTGCAGAACTTCCTGTTTTAAACAAACAAGTGATTAGCATTGACTACCGACCTGAAAATGTATCCTAATGAATTGCTAATTAGCCTCCTCTTCCTGGGGTCTTTAACTAGTAAATTCTCTGGCCATTGGAAGTTTTAATCAATCTGGCTAGAATCATTCATTCATCCATTCACCCACTCAACATGTATTTATTGAACACCTACTGTGTGTTACTGAACTAGACAAGCAAGATCCCTTCTTCACAGTCTGATGGAGGGAGACAGTGTTGATCAACTAGACTTACATAGTAACACACTTATAAGACAAGGTGCTTGGACAATATGCAAGAGGAGGGCTTGGTCTTGTCATGCATGGGGTGGGGTGGGGTGTCCCTCAGAGAAGCCTATCTAGAGAAAGATCTTGAGCCAAGATCTGAAGACTACATAGACCATAACTAGATGAAGGAGCAAGGAAAGAATACAAGAGTGGTTCAGCCAGAATAGTTAATGCAAAGGCTATGTGGGGGGAGAGAGCAGGAGAGTCTGAGGAAGAAGGAAGAGGCCAGTGTGAGAAGTGTACAAGATGCTTGTTGGGGAGAGGGGCTGGGAGTCAAGGATGTAAGTCTCATCCCAGCCTACATGCCTCAGGCCTTACCACCCCAGGGACTTTCTACAGATGAGGAAGGCCTTCTGTCTGCCCCTTCCTCAGGCCAGGAGTGCTGGCTAATGAAGCAGGATTTGGGAGCAGCCCTCAGCCAGTGACAGGGAAGTTGATGCCCATAAACTTCAGCTCCCCAACCCCTTGGGCAGGATGGCTTTGAGCTGCAAATTGTATACAAGTTCCCAGAATTCTCAATAGGCTTGAGCCTCTCTTGTGTGCAGAGATATAACCTCTTTGACTGTACAGGCTTTGCCTTTCTCACTCCCTCACTTCCCTACTGCTGCCTCCGGGGATTGCCTCCCAAATGAACACTTGCCCTCAAATCTG